TCTACATTCCAGTAAGCCCGCCTACTCTTTTGCTCACCTCCTCACACTTTCTTAAGTACTGGAAGATTGTTCACACATCTGCATCTCCTCTTTCTGTCCTTCCGACCTGCAGGTTCTCTGCCACCCACTTTCTGCGTCCGGAACACGAAGCGATATTTCAAGGCTCAATGTGAGCCTCATTTCCTTTGGAAGCCTTCCCTTGCTCTTTCTCCAATCCAGACAAATTTTCACTACTTCTCACTCTGGGCTGCACTCCATCACAGGTTAAGCTCACCTCTCCCACTTCGCCTGATGCTTTTTGGTGGTAAGAGCATGGACTTTTGACTCCAGCTGCCTTGGATTGGAATACTGACTTGGCCATTTGCTACGCGGGATTTTAGGCAGCTCAGTTCATTCTTCTACGTCTCAATCTGCTCATCTGAAAGCGGGGATTGTGATCCTCTCATGGGATTATTGTGAGAATCAATCGAGTTAATTTACATGAAGAGTCTGGAACAATGCCTGCCACATAATTTATACTATGCAACTGTTAGCGATTTCTTTTCTACTTTTTCTTTTTTTTTCAAAAATTATACTTAAGGTTTCACCAGTCTGCTCTGTGAAGACAGGAAGTAGCTGTTTCCTACCTACTATTTAATCTTCAGGACCTAGCACAGTGTTCGATGCATATAAATTAGGTGTTCTGTGGTTGCTTGGAGCATGACTAAATGAACGGTCATTTAAGAGGCCCCACGTTAGCTTTCTTTCCTTCTGCAATCGTGGAACACACTTATTTGAAACGGTACCTGTGATTAAATATTAAATAATGCAAGAGCAAAAGTTGCATTCGTGACTACCTTTTATCCTAAATGTTTATCTTTTCATTGGTAGAGTTCTATACTATAAGAGCCTCCAAGAAATTCAGCTTGGCGATATCATAGGCTTCCTTCAAAACACCTATCTCATCTTCTCAAGGATGGCATTTTAAGCAGCAATGACAGATGCAATGTTCTCTCACACAAGTACAGAGTAATTCATTAACATACATATGAAAGCAAGAAGTCTACAGGCAATCTTTACCACCAAAATCCTTGAGAAATAAAAGAAATTCAAAGCAGCTAGAAGTGACTTAAAAGGTAAAACTGGTTTTATCATTCAAGAATGCCAGGGTGATAGAGGTAGACTTTAGTGGCTAGGCACCCACTGAATTTGCTTTAGGATTGAGTTTGGGTGAGGGAAAGAAAGGACTTAAATTAGAATCTACCTGAGTATTTGGACAGAGTCCTATTCTGAAGAGCTGAAAAGGACTTTTGTAATCAAATAATTCAAAACATACATTTAATAAGTGCAGAGAGGTGAATGACTTGTCTTGGTTACCTAGCTGGTTAAAGATAGATTTGATTTAGAAGAATATTTCTTAATAGGTAGTTTTTTTAATACACAGTCCACATTTCAGGATGGCTTCATGGTGGGATGATTCATGATGAACCAGGGTATTACAGGCTGTGTCTAAAATAAACTCAGAGTGTGCTTTTGGATTGCTAAACACCAGGATAAAAGTGACCAACAAAAGCCATCAATCATCTCGAGGTAGGTACCTGCAGCGTCTCTGCCATGGACAGGTTAGGTTCTGAAAAGCTGTTTGTGAGTCCATTTGTTCTGAAGGTCAAAGTGACACTATGCAATGGACTTCCAACAGCTCCGAAGCAGAGGAGCTGACACATTTTTATTCTGATGCCCAGCTTTGTTCTTATCTATTGAAGTTTGTACGAGGGGGCTATTGGATCCATTTCTTTCTATCAATAAGTAGACCAAATGTCTCACATTAAGTGTTTAGTGTCTGTCCTACTTCAGGTTCCTTAGAAGCAGAGCCTGAGGCAGGGACTCAAGTGCATATGATTTATTGAGGGTGCATTCTCGGAGGAAGAAAGGCAGGAAGGAGAGCAGGAGAGAGCAAGGGAAGGAGCTAAGCAAGAAGGTGTCTCAGCTGTTGTCTAGTCTCTGTCTGATCCCACGGGGAGGTCTGGGGCATGAAATGCAGGAAAGGGCCATCTGTGGGCATTAATAGCTGGGGATGGGCATGTCACTTTTTAAAGGGCATCTGGCCAGGGCTCCACTGGTACTTACCACTAGATTTATTGTGAACCTTAAAAGCAGATATTGTTTATTATCTAGACAATAATTGTGCTAATAGCAAATGTAATCAAGAAAGAAGGCCCACATGATTTGGGCAGGCAGTGTTTGAGAAGGACTCAGTACTCTAACATGAGGCCCATGAGTTTTAGAGTCTGAACTCTTTTTTTTTTTTTTTTTAAATTCAAGTTCCAACTCTAACAATGTACCTTAAGAAAACTCCAATCTCTGGGAACCTCAGGCTTCTAATCTATAAAGTGGGAATGACAACAGCATCTTCCTCTTAGATTTTTGGCCAGTTCAAGAGAGATAATATGTGCCAAAGCACCTATAAAACTTGAAAACTAGAGGACAAGAAACAGGTCTGAAGAAAGTTTAAAAATGCAAACTAGAAGAGTTTTCTATGAGAAGCTGTAGCAGTTTGAAAGATGTAGATGTTTGTCCAAGTTGAGAAAGGACTTAACATTCATTATCTCAGTTAATCCATATCATTGTCCTATAGGGTGGATAATTCTCATTCTATAAATTTCTCTTTCTCATTCGCATTCTATAAATTCTCATTCTATAAATTTCTTAACAAAGACTTTATGTTCTAGGGTATTCTAATTTCATGTTGCTAAATATTTGACAGAGATAGAATTAGAACTCAGATCTGTCTATGTTTAAATATGTCACCATTTCATTATCATTGTTATCTTACCAAAGGATATTTTTACCAGCATGGACATTGGTGAGAACTTATAAAGGAGGTGGTGAAGAATGAAAATTTAAATGAAGATACGTTAAATAGTTCATGCACTTCAGGAACCTTTCATTTGGTTAGAGAGTTGCATTTTGACTCTACTTTTTCCGTTCGCAAATCTCTCCATGGATGTACTAGGAAACATTGTAGATATGGCACCACTATAGGTACTGGACAGAAAGGGCAAAATGTTGTGGTTCTTGTTTTTGTTTTTTCAAACGTGAGACTCAGAGTCTGCAGTCCTTTAAACTTTGCAGAAGAAACATCAGTTAATGGATATGGGCCATTTTACTTTCTGCATGAATAGTAATAGAAATGCTTTTAAGGATCAATGGTCATACGCCTTCAGCCCAAAAAAGCAAAATTTTATGAAGAGACAGGAAAGTCAGCAAGGACAGAAAAAAATGATTTCTCGTATTAGGCTAAATGAAAGCATACAATTTCTTCTTAATTGAAGCTCTTCTCTTTTTGGCAAAGACAAAATATGTTTTAACTAGGGAAACTTCTAGTTGCAAGTATTTGTAAAAGCAGAACAAAATGTGAGATATAATAATGTAGGAAGTTTTAAAACATACTTTTTTTAAAAAGTGAGGAACATATAAGAAAATATATATGACTATATAAAGCAGAGTGCATTTGAGATGGAGATATTCAGTTGTTTTCAAGAATGGATAGAATCCATAGCTCTAGAGAAACTCAAGGGTATAGCAAATAAATATGCTGTGTGGAGTTTTCCTTGCCAGAAAGTCAAATTTATTATTATGGAATCTGATTTAAATCATATATGTCTTCTAGGGTCATCTGCTATCCAAGTAGAAAAATAAATAATTATTATAGCAGAATCCTTCAGTGTCTAGAATAATCTTTTTGTGTATATGTGTAACATATTAATACATTTCTGTATTATTTTGTCCCCTGTTAGTTTCCCAAGTGATGGTGTTAGCTGAAATGCAGAAATCAAGTATTATAATTATCTTTAACCTAAGTGTCAGAAGTCACCAGCCTCTATCCATAATCCATTTAGATACACAAATCTCTACATTCTCTTTTTATTTCCACAGATACAAATACATTCAGATACAATTGGCAATGTATTTGTGTGTGTATGTGTGTATATATGTATGTGTGTGTGTATGTGTATATGCATTTTGATAAAGCCAGAAACAAGGCCATCCCAAAATGGTCAACACCAAGGGGTCTCTGGTGTAGCATAACCCTTGGAACACAAGACTTGCAATGAGAACTAGATCTAATTATTAATTCATATATCTGCTGGTGACTAAATCAATTTCACGAGATGAGCTTTGGGCCTACATTTATTCATAAAATTTCAGAAAAATTACTTTTGCAAAGTAACAGAGAGCATAGAGATTTCCACGAGCCCTGCAGGTGTAGGTGCTAACTTGTTGGCTCCCTGATAGATCCTCTGGGGCACAGAAGGTGGTGCAAAGGGAGAAATGCAAGCCTTCTACTTTATCCACATCAGCAGATATAATTACTCTCAAACAAGGGTTTTGCTGAATCCAATATGAAACATTTCAGTCCTTGGAAACACTATATACAAAGGATATTAGAGGCAGTATGTCTATTGTTCATCTGCTAATGTCCCCAAATGTCACCAAGGTAATTACTTGGATGACATTTATGTGATGCAGCTGGACATTGTTACAGTTAATATAAAGCCTGCCTTTGGCAACCACTTTATTTCCACCTACATCAAACTGTGGGTGTGCGATCGCTTTTCTTGGGAGAGCACCCACCTCCTCCAAATTACATCTCTGACCCCAATTTTTTCTTCCTGTGCTCTGCACAGTAATAGCCAATGCAAAAGGGAAAAAAAATAGTACTATGTCATATGCCTTTATCTTAATATTTATATCTGGAATTTTTAGAGATGATTCCAAAAATTAAGATGACTCAAAATAATTCCTAAAATAGAATAACATTGATTCTTTTGAAACAGTTTCTATTATCTCCAGGAGTCTAGATTCACAAAATGCACATCATCAAAACTTTTTACCTCCATATAATTATATTCATTCTCAAAGATCAGATTGTTGGAAAAGGTGGATTGTAAAATATGTATATCACAATAATATTATATTCTCAGAGGCATAGAGTCAGGATCCCCCCCCAAAATACTCACATGCAAACTGGAGCTTCGCCTTCCGACTTAGAATTGTCCCCAGAAGATTGGTGGCCAGGCATTGGTAGGTACCAAAATCTTGATCTGTGTGGGGGCTACTGATTGCCAAACTGCCTCCATCCAACCTGTAGTGATAACTCATGGTAAAATCAATATCTGTGCCATTTTGCTTCCACCTTCAAGGGAAAAAAATCAAATTACACTTATAACATACAGAGTCAATTACTCTTTGTCTTAAACATCATGCAGTTTTAAGTTCTGCAAGCATTAAAAAAAAAAAAAAAAAAGACATGGTTACATGTAGAGATAATCCCACCAATTTCACCCAAGGTAACTGTCTTGATGAGCTCAGTGATGTCAATGATTAGATTATTTGAAAGACCTACTCTTTACATGTTGCAAATATTCACCCAAATGTATAGAAAGAGGCAACAGAACTCTTGAAATGAGAAATAAAAATTAGACAATCAGTAATACCTGCCATCCTGTTCCTTTAGCACCTTTTCAAATAGCACATACCGTACCTGAACACCCACAACCGATATCTCAAAATTGAATGCCGCAAGTGATTTAAAGATAGAAATCCAAGAAGGGTATATCACAAATGGCACAAAGAATGGCAACAAAAATTTTATAATGGCAATTCGAAGCTGAAAGCAAAACAATAATAACCAGACTACTTTAGAACATGATTGTCTCTGTTAGTCTATTACTTGGAAAATTAGTCATGTTGAAAATATTTCAACAGTACTTGGAAATGCCAAACTAAAATTATACTTTAGCAAAACAAATGCTGTTTGAAAGGTTTTTATTTTAGGAAGCAAAAGTCTCTTGGCTTAGTTTATTAGTCAATAATCCTTTAGTAGATGAATTAACTAGCTGAAGGGCCTTCGAGTTTTATTTATTTTCAGAGACTCCTAAGTAGTTTTAGAAGTTATATTTGGATATTTTAAGAAAAATACATACCCAGTAATCATCCCTAACAAACTCGCTTCCTCTGCCTTTTACCTTCCAATTCCATCAAAGTCCCTAAACATTTTGAAGTAGGAATCTTGCATATTTAATGAGACACATTCCTAGGTCACAAGTTGTGTGTAGTCATATAAGCCATTTAGGAAAATAGACATTTAAAAATATTGAACATTTCAATGAAGGATTTATAAGGGGAAAAAAACAATATTGAATAATGACAACCAGTTGTAGGCATGGAGAGAGATCTTTTCTCACCCATTGCTAGGTTCATGACCAAGGCCTCTATAACAAAAGGAAGGTTAATAAGAGAAAAACATACAAATTAATTTAATATAAGTTTTACATGATATGAGGTCCTTCAGAAACAAAGACCCAAAGAAACAGGGATACCTGTGGATTTTAACGCTGGTTTTGATGAAGAACAGGTAGTCTTGTAGAAGGATGTCTGGATAAAAGTGGTATGATCTAATGGTAATAAATTGGGTGAAACATAGCAAAGCCTGCTTTTTCAGATTCTTCTTGGTGTCTTTGTGTCTTTGAGGGAGATTAAGGATGTCCCTTTCCTCTGGGTATAGGAAGGGGACCTCTGGAATGAAGTTTTTATGACCTGCTTCAGGGAAGAAGAGCAAGGGGAAGGTGAGAGTGACCTTCCTGTTTGGCATTTCTCAAATGCCAAGGTACCATATTTTGGGGTGGCGTGTCATGAACCTCATCACAGTCTTTTAGAAAAACAAGTAAATGGCCTCTTCGTATGGAATACAGCCTATTTCCGAACCACGTATTTTAGGGTCTATGCCAGCTTTGCTATGATTCTCCCCTTCATACTGAAATCATATTAAAGATATTTTGATGGGGGTGGCTGATTGTAAGAAATGAATGACATGTTACAGAATTAATCAGATGTCATTGACTTTTTTAGGAGCATCCTGAAACATCCCATGGGGAGAGTCTGACAAATGCCTACCAAAGTAGAAAAAAATATATAGACTTATTCCTCTACCCTATTAAAGATGTGAAGTGATAGATCAAATATCAAATCAATCAGAGGTTTTGAGCCAACTTTGTTACTTTTAAATTATTTAGTCATTTCCTGTGCACCTCAGCTTCTCTTTAATGAAAGGAAATTGAAAGACAGCAGTCAAAGAGCACATTTCATTTGCCTGGATTTTCTGCCATTTTTTTTTTCCTGAAGGAATTTGTATAGACGGTTTCTTATTTTCAATATTAGTGTAAGAGAAAGAAGAAAAAAAAAACAAAAAAACCTTTTCTTTCTTTAGGCCAATCTCAAGATGCCAATATTCTCGTTGCCAGGACTGTGATACTGTCTTTCATAATTTGCTTACAGGGCACAATCTTTGGACCTCCATGTTCCCTATCATTTTCAAAGCAAAGGATATACCATACTTAGTTTGCCAGCTCTCTTTAATTTTGGAATCAATCACTGAAATAACTGCTGTCATCATTACATGCTCCTAATTAAGCTCAGTAATTGTTTTTCAACACAAATTCAAAGTTGTTGGCTTAGCTACAGCAAATGAATTTTTCACGGTATCCCCACAATCACACTGATCGCTATGGTACAATGATTATTAAACTGTGCATATAGATCAGGGGTTCAACTCCTGGTGTGGGCTCTGTCCTGATTAATATGTTTAAATCAATGGAAAAACAGTATTAATGAATTCAAATGATTGCCATGCACACATAACTGATAGCATTGCACACTCAGGAGTGTTTTCTTATGATGCAAACTAGGAATTATGTTTTAAATGATTATTTTAAGCATCATCTGAATTAATAGCATATTAGTTCCAGGAAACATAATGGATCTGAACTAAAATCTTGACCTTTTGATGGCAGAACATCCTTCACTGTTAAATAGTTCAGTCCTGTGTCAAGAATATAATGGCTGGGGGCTGTGTTTGTTTGCTGTCCTTGCATAATGCATGTGTGTGTGTGTGTGTGTGTGTGTGTGTGTGTGTGTGTGTGTGTGTGTTTCAAAACTGGGCATTGCTTTTTAGACTTACATGGAGTACTTGATAAACGTACCTATTTCTCTTTTAAAAAAAGTTTTTATTTTTAATTGACAAATAATGATTGTGCATATTTACAGGGAATAATAATATAATGTTTCCATACACGTGTACATTTTGAAATGATCAAATCAGGATATTTAACATAGTCATCATCTCAAACATTTATCATTTCTTTGTGGTGAGAATATTCAAAATCCTCGATCCTAGGTATTTTAAAATACACAATACATTATCGTTAACTATAGTCCCTTTGCTGTGCATTAGAACAATAGAACTTATTCCTTCTACTTAACTGTAACTTTATGCCTTTTAACCAACGTCCCACTTTCCCTTTCTGCCCATTCCCCAGCCTCTGGTAAACACTATTCTACTTTCTACTTCTATGAGTTCAACGTTTTGGATTCTACCTATAAAGTCTAAAATTTTAAGTCTCTCTGGCTGATTGTAATATACACCAAATTTGAGGCCATTGCACCTGTGAGAAGAGTCCTAGTTCTAGCTTTGACATTCTCTTGCTGTATGTCCTTGGCCAAATCTCTGATCTCTCTAGAAGTCACTTCCATCAATTATAAAATTTGCACAATAATATGTATTTTGTTTAACAACCTCTCATGAGGTTGTTAAGATCGAGTGGGGAAATGAATAAAAAGGATAAAAGGGCAGAGAGACTACAATTATGGTTTTTCCTCAGAGGCTTACACCTTCTCTGGACTTCAGGTTGTCTTCATGACTAGGGCAGAGTAGACTGAAGTACAGAAAGGTCACCTCTGGTGACCAGGTAGAGAAGGGATGTGTCAGAAATCCTTGATGGTATTCAAAGTGCTTTTCTGATAGTGAGTATACCCCATGTAGAAATAATTTATGAATTTGTGTGTGTGTTACTTCATTTTTCCAAATAAAATATATATTCTGGGATAGAACCAAATTCCTTGCTATCTGATTTTCCTAGACTTTCTAGGTATATGAGCAATCCTTGTCAAGCACCATGTTTGGGTAACCTATTTCTTTTCCCTTTGCAAGGCTTCCTGGCTGGACTTTATATTCCCACGTGTTGCCTAGTCTTTGAAAAAATAAAGAGTAATGCTTTCTATGGGAAAGCTTTTGTCTAGACTTGCTTCATTTCTGTTTCTTCTTGCTGTCACTGAACTGTTTGGGGTGGTGTTTATTTCACTGGAAGTGACTTTAGCCAAGGTGCTTTTAAGCTGCTTCCAAAGTTCTGCTTTTAATATTGCTTTTCCCTATGAGATTTCATTTGCTATATTGAATTTGCTAAAAGAAAAAAAAAACAGATCTTAAATCAAGCACACCCTTATTTTATGGATAAGGAAGCTGATGCCAGGAGAGAGAAATGATTATTGCAAGGAATGACAGAGCTGTGACCAGAAATGACAACTCTTGGTTCTAAGACAAGAGTTCTTTGTATTGCTTCACACTGTGCCCAAATAACTTCAAATCATGTTAGCAGCTGTGAATCCTGAAGACTTTCCCTCTAGGATAGATACATACACACACACACACACACACACACACACACACTCACACACTCACACACACACATACACATCTTAAGGTGCATATGGCTATGAAGTTTATTTTAAATAAAATTTAAGTTAGAAAGGGTCATATTAAAACTAAAATTTCCCATTTCACTGCTAATGCACATTATGTGAAATATCTCTGCCCTTTGCTTTATTATCAATAAAATTGGGTCTGAGTCTGACATTTAAGCATTAAAAACTTAATTCTTTTCTCACTCTCTTCCCAAAGCATCTTGCCTATGAGTATTTTGTAATGTAATATTACCGATGAGCTAAACCAGCTTATGGGGGTTGGAAATACGAGGCTAAATTACTTGTCTTTAGCCCCCTAGATTACAAATATCTCAGAAACACAAGCTATTTAATAACATTAGAAATTATAGTTTTCATTCAGGGTATTTTTTCATAGATATAACCGATTAGCAGATTGTCTTGAGAACCACTATTTTGTATCTTCGTACCTGTTAAAAGCCAATATAGAGATAGATTTTATATAAGTACATGATTTATTTTTTATTTTGCTTATATTTAACAAACTTTTTAAAAAAAGTTTTTAGAGAGATTCATGTATTCTTTCTCTTCTCTAACAAACCCTACTAGTCCTGATGATCAGCCAAATTTGCTCTCAAAAATAAAATAATGACTTTAAGTATAAGTGATCCTGATAAATGTGTTAATCAGATTTTTATATATTTAGCCATATGTTAAATACAATAAGACAGCTCATCATTTAAGGAAAACTAACAAACCAACAAACCCTGAATGGAGTGAAGCAATTTGTAAAGTGAATGATCTTCCTCTAACAAATGAGTTGCATTGGTTTGGATAATCTAAAGACAGGAAAGCTATTGTAAGTGTAATGAAAAGACATACATATTTAGCTCTTTTGTTGTAAATGAAAAGAAGATGCTAAAGTTAGTTCAACAAAATACAAGATAAGGTAAAGTTGCCTTTAGCTTCGTGCATTTAAATCATTTATCTAGTTAACCTAGATAACTTTAAGATCAAAGTGATTATTCATATAAATACTATTATTCCTGCAAAATAAAATTAGGCAAAACCAGCTCATTTCGCCAAAATGGACTGAAATTGTCACTATGTGTGTGCCATTTTGACTTTATATCTAAAAATTAAGACTTAAAAAATTATGTTAAAGCTCAAAGCTTCAAACGTCATTTTAATATCTATTTTGTCTTTTCCTGTATTCACGCTGCATATGCAATTTTTACCAACAAAACATCCTGATTATTTACCCATGTACAATTTTTACATGCATATATTTTTGAATTTGTGAATTCCACCCACAATATGGATCATATTCTGCCTTTACTGCCAATTTGTAAATCAGACCAAAACATTACTGATTCTTCCTCCCTAGTATTCCACAGAAAATATGTAAAAACAAAAACAGTTTTTTCCTATTTGCCCAGAATAAAAATTCTCTTTCTGCCTTGTAAAGGATACATAGCTGTAATTGATGTATTTTTGTAACTACAATATTGCCCTGCATAGCAGCAATTTCAAGATTAAATGTTCTAAGCAAACCTTATCAATAAGACTGAGACATAATCGTGGTTACTTGGAGGTGGTGGTGGGGATGGAGTACATTACCTGAAAAGTAGCATGAGGGAACACATTGGGGCACGAGAAATGTCTCTATCTTTATCTGAATTATGGACACATAGCCATATACCTATGGAAAAATTCCTTGTGCTGTACACTTCAAATGAGGGCACTTTCTAAGACTCTATTGTGTGGATGTTTTAGCTCAATGAAAAAGAATGAAACAGTGCAGCTCCCAGAGGTAGGATTTTACCTATAATGGGGTGAAGGGTAACCACTAGCAGCACAATTCAAGATGATTTCAGATTTTGATAAACCCAAAGGAAAAATGACATCTTCTGGCTCCTGAGTAAAAATAGGGCGGCTGAAAAGTCCATCACCTGGGGAAAAAAAAAAAAAAAAAAGAATGACATCACTAAATGAATAACAACAAAAAAAACAGAACCCTGCTTTCAATGGGAGTCTATATTAAATATCAAGTTGATACACATTTTTTAAAAACTTGTATTTTGAAACAATCTCAAAATTACAGAAAATGTTGCAAAAACAGTCCAAAGATTTTTTTTTCTGAATCATGTAGAGTAATTCTGCAAACTGCAATCACCTCAAATAAATTAGTGTATATTTCCTACAACTATAGAACATTTGTCTATATAACCATAATGAAACCAACAGTATTAAGAAATTAACATCAATTCAGTACTAGCATCTCATCCTCAGGCCCTATTTCACCACTGTGCCCAATAAAATCCTTTATATAAAAGGGATCCAGCTGAGAATCACAAGTTTCACTTAATTGTTATGTCTTTTGAGTCTCCTTCAATCTGGAACAGTTCCCCAGTCTTTCCTTGATTTCCCTGACTTTGACACCTTTGAAAATTGCAAAGCAGTTATTTGGTAAAGTTTCACTTAATCTGGGCTCATCTAAACAGTCAGGTACTAAAGGCAGGGCACAGGCTCTTTCCTGTACAGGTAGGAGCTGCACCCTGAAAATGCAGGCCATAGGAAGGTAGAAAAATATTAATAAAACCAGTGAATTGGCTTTTTAAAAAAATTATCATTATGAAGAAGGCTCCTCCCAAGCAGTGAATATGCAGATCCCATTGTCTTGCTCTCTGTTTCCCTTCCCTTCCTCTTAGAAGATAGAATGAAACACTGTTTCATTATGATCAATTTCAGGCATAGGATGTTCTTTATATATTGCATCCTATCAGGTGGCTGCTTAAGCGTATCTGTCCCTTTATTGCTGAAGTTAAACGATCATTTGATTAAGGTGGTGCCTGCCAGATTTCTCCACTAAAAAGTCATGCTTTTTCGTTTTTTCTTTGTAATTAGTATTTTGTGGTTTGGGACTTTAGAGAATACAAACATACCATTGCTCAAACATTTAAAATTTTTATTCGTATATTTCTATCAGTATGGTCTACTTTATTTAATACGTGAATCCAAGGGTTCTTATTTTATTAAATGAATTACACAATCCATTACGATTTATTTTGGTGCTCAAATTGTCACTCATTTGGTCATCGGGAGCCCTCGCTAACTGACTTCTTTGCCCTTTGGCACGACCTTACCATTCTTTGAACTCTTCCTTGCTTTCTGGTATAAGAAAGAGTTCCAGGAGCATCTTGCGTTTCCCCTGCCCCAGCCACAGAAATTGCAATTCTTTTTCTAAGAAAACTTGACTTCTCTCATTAGAGAATGGCGTTTAGAAGCCATGATCTGGAATTTTTTATTGAGGTGCTGTTTTTCTGAGTCCCTCTCTGTGGATGTGTGTTGGTGTGTGTGTGTAGATTGTGTGTGTGTAGATTGTGTGCATGTGTGCGTGTGTGTATCTAAAATGATGTGTAATGGTTTGAGTTTCCTCTGTCCATATTTGTAATTCCCTGTTCAGACTGCAAGAACCCTGGCTCTGATTATCTTCAGTGCATGTATGCATTTGTTCAATCCCTTTTTCTGTAACTCATCTCCTATTACTGCCACCTATTATTTCACCCTGTGCAGGTTCTGACACCCACTCCCACTTTTACCCACATGGACAACTTTCCACATCACCCAGGATCTGATGGCTCATGCTGGAACACTCCCCTCCTCTTGGAGACTCTGTCCTCCCTCTGCTTACCTCCAACACCAGACTTCGGGCTTCTATCTTGAACAATCTTCCCTGAAAATAGAACCTGCCCCCCTCTTCCCAGGCTCTGATTCGCTGTGCCAGGCCACCCCACTGTGGGCCTGTCCTTCTCGCCTTGCTTGGGCTCTGCCACCCTACTCCCTGCCATTGCTCCCTAGCCCTGCCCTGCACCCTTCTCAGCCCTCTCAGGTTCCAGCACCCCCTGCTGGGCTGCTGCGGTTCTTTTCTCCCATGCTCACATGGGGGCCGACCTCACTCACCTCCCTCCAATGGCATCTGGACTGAATTATCTATCCTGAAAGGTAGGGAAGAGGAAGAGGAGGAGCTCAGTACTAATGGATAAAGTGAAATTCTGTATTTGTGTTTATGTGCAATCTACAACGTGAAACATTAACCTGATCATATTAGGCCTTAATTTGAAGTCCAGTCCATAACTCTAATAACTGTACTTAAGTGACATGTGACGGTATAGTCATTTCCTCTGGTATCACCCACAGCACCAGAGAATCTCGAAGGTGGAAGATCTTTTGTAGGCCATTCAGCTCAGACTTCTTGGTTTAGAAAGACAGTAGAGTGAATGGCTAAGATCATGTGCTTTGGAATCAAATGGGCCTCCATGGATTTGAGCAATCCTCTGTGTCCTTTTCCGTAAAATAGATTTAATATGCACATCATATGATTGTTTTGAGATGTAATGATGTCTTGCTAATAAAGTATGGTACGTTGTGCCTACTAACAAGTAAATAGTCATTGAATTGTAACAACCATCATCAGCATCAGCATCATCAGCATCACCATCCTTATTATTACAAAGAAGGAAATTGAAACACGGAAAGTTGAAACACTGTGTTTTTTTTGTTTTTTTGTGTTTTTTTTTCCAAATTCACCATCTGTTTTAACAGAGAGCAAGAAATGAAATTTAGGTTTCCTGATTCCTACTCCATTGTTTTTACCATCCACTCAGATCTGCTTCTATCCCATTAGTCTTCTAAAATATTTGCACCCAGGTAGAATAAATTATTTTTGTTAACTTCATCTTAAATTGTAATTTCAGTACAATGCATTATCGGCCCAAAAGTAAAGACAGGCAGAAGTTTTAATTTCAGCCTAGTCAGTTACTAGCTCTGTAATGCTGGACAAGTTACTTAACCACTCTGGTTCTCTGGTTTCTCAGATGCTAAATGGCAATACCACAGCTTATATCTTAGTGTTGCTGTAAAGGTTGATGGAGAAAGAGTAGACTGAAGATGGATTACAGACTTTTCTTACCTAATTAAATGTGCAAGACATTATAAATACAAACAAGTAAACAAACAGAAATCAACAACATCTGAACAAGAAAGAGGGCCTATCACAGTGCCATTGGCTTACAAATAATCAAAACAAAGAAAAAAATAAAAACAATGGTTAAGTAAGAAGAGCCTTGCCAGGCTCAGGGAAGTAAAAGAGTTCTGGACTTTCTAATTTTGTCCCCTCCTGTTGTAAGATTGGTGAAATGACATTCTGAGATGTTCATTGCAACTTCTACATGGAAATAAGCAAACTTGTATGTATATGGATAGTCTATATTTATTTTTTATTCTTCTTATTGAAGAGTAGAGAAAGGGGCTTCTGGAGAGAAAAAGATGAAATAGGGAAATATAAAGAGTAAAGCTAATTTTATTTCACACATTAATGCTTAACACCTATTCACTCACTTGGTAAAACTCAGAAGCCCATTAAAGAAGTGAAACATCTCCCAACGAGATACACCTATCATTCCTCCAGCAGTAATTTTGCTACAATCCATTTTAAAAATCTTAGAATAGAAAAAAAGCACCCAAATGTTCTAAAAAAGGCCGAATTTCACTCAATCCTACCAGTATGTAATGCTGCAAAATGTGGATACTCATGATATATTTGGTCCCCAGACTGGAGCTAAGAAGGAGAAAACAAAATCCTACCAGTATGTAATGCTGCAAAATGTGGATACTCATGATATATTTGGTCCCCAGACTGGAGCTAAGAAGGAGAAAACAAACAGGTCCCAAATTTGATAAAAAGAAAGTTAAGAAATATCTCTCTCTATTAAGTAAAAAGTGAATTTTATATACGCAGTTTCTCAAGCATGAACAATATGAAAAGAAATGGAATAACCTCTATGCAAATATATATATTGCAACAATAAAAGAGAAAAACATGGCATGCCAAAGACAGACGAAATACCCAATCAAGAAGAAAATATAACTCAAGGAAACCTAGGCAGTTTCTCAAAATTGTTTCATGCAGTAGAATAAGAACATGGATTTTAAAAAATAACATGATAATTGCAAGATTGAAAAAATGCACAAAAAATAGAATCAGAAAAATTTGGAGAGTGCAAATGTAAGGATACAAATTGCAATCAAAATTGCATCATTAAAAAGCTAATAAATCAATTAGAAGAGTCAAGCAATAAAACAGACACCCACTGAAAGCCAAATTACTGATATAAAGATTTGAGATGATTATAATTATCTCATATAATTTGGAAAAGCACAGATAATAAAGCAATTGTGGAAAAGGAAATGAATAAGAAAGATAGACACAGATGATCAACATAAAGACTCTTGATGTCACTGAATTAGAGAATTAGACAAATGTATCAGAAGATCTCATCAAGAATAATTCCTGTAAATTGAAGGAATACTCCACATTTAGGAACATTTGACAGAGAGACCACTCAGCACTAATGTGTGTTCTGGTTAAGTGACTGATCTTCAAAGTTAAAGAAAAACCTTGAAAGAAGATCAGGCTAAAATAGCAAATCATTTAAAAGAGTAAAAGAATAAAATCATATTAATCTCTGTAAACAGTAGCATCCTATACCAGAAAACAATGAGAAAAGTCTACAAATATTCTGAATGAAAAGAGTCAAATGAATATTATCACCCAAGACACCTTTCAAATATAATGGCATCTGACAGACATTCTTGTGCATTAAAAAAAAAAAAGTTACATGAAAAAACTAACATAAAAAATAACATGAATGACTATTCTTAAAGAGATCACTTAACAATGAAATCCATTTAGTTAAAAATGAACCAAGTGGCCAGGCGTGGTGGCTCATGCCTGTAATCTTAGCACTCTGGGAGGCTGAGGTAGGAGGATTGCTTGAGTTTAGGAGTTTGAGACCAGCCTGAGCAGAAGTGAGACCCTGACTCTACTAAAAATAGTAAAAATTAGCCGGGGATGGTGGCACATGCCTGTAGTTGCAGCTACTTGAGAGGC